TTTTCTTAGGAATCGTATGTATCTTTTCGCTCATCGCTCGTTTATAGGTTTAAAGCAATTAAGATCGAAGATTCGTGTTACTTTCTAGCGTAAGTGCGAAGGATTTGAAAGGAAGACATCTCCATACCGTGTAATATGTACGCTGCCTCGACACACACACACACACACATACACACAAAACATGCGCGCGTGCGCGAGGATGAGTAAAAAGAGAGAGTGTCTCCGCTCGGTGTTCAAAAAAAAAAAAAAAAAAATCACAATGAAAGTTCAACTAAACGAGGAAAAAATATATATATAACTCGTAGTTTACGATAAATATCATTAGCGTTATATTGATACACTTGTAATTGCTCGTTACTAGTAATCATCGACACGTACATTTGCCGCGCATTAGTTTTTGCACTTCGACTGGAATCGAGTCGCATACATGCGAATTAACATACGTGTAGCAAAGATCGGTTCTTACGAGAGCATAAGAAAACTGTCTTATCCAGCGTAAGTTGTCTTTGAGCATTGTCGTCGCTGGACTTCGAGAGGTAACAACGACGATTTCGACGGTCAGATACGTGCGTGAAAATATTAAAACGTTGTTAATGGTTAAAAAAGAAAAAGAAAAAAGAGAAACGAGAAGTATTCACGTAACAAAGACTGAAGTAATAAAAAGCGTCATTCTTTCCTTAGAATTCTACTTAAAAATATCAATTTCCGTCATTCATAATTGTGATACTTTTTTTTTTTTTTGTCATGTGTAATTTTGTTAAGATTTTGTCGATTGAACGATCACAGCCTGAAGTGCATTTCTTTCATTTTTTTCTTTTTTTAATTTTCTCGCGTTTTTCTTGTATACTTATAACTTGATCGCTGCCTCAGCTTTTACGTTCTAGTCGTACTTAAACGATTCTGCATGTTTTTTTTTTTTTTTTTTCTGATTTTCGTATGTTTGGACTAAGCACTGTAATTTTCAGTCGTTCGAACACCTGAACGCGTCTTTGAGTTAAAATCTTGGACATGGCGCAATGGAAGACAACTTACAGTACACGAAAAAGAAATAGATACATTATGGAAAATGGTAGAAAAGGATGGGCAATGTAGGATAAGGTATTCGGAAACATGTATGGATATCTTTGATATCATTTCCAGTGTAGAACAATAACGTCAAAATTTTTAGTCAGACCGATCCAAGGATAGAAAGCTTAGAACAAATTCGAATTATAAATTTCAACGTATCACAAACGAGCATTAGAGTTCGGGCGTAAATTTTACGCGATAAAGAAGAGATATTCAAATACTTTTTACGTACCTTATCCTATGAAAAAAGGAGGACGAACTCGCGTTTACATAATAACCGATATGTAAGATAGTGTTAATTTTTTAACACGTTTACCAATATGTGAAGAATATATTTTAAATATATCGCGGGTTTGTAAATGTTCTAAATATATATCGGATTGGTTGATTGACACAAAGCTCGCGTAACGAACGGTTCTAAATTCACAGGCGCCACCGGCACGAGAAAAAGAGAGAGAGCTGGCCACAGAAGCACTTTGTTCGACTATAGTCAAACCGGCGAGTCCAACATTTAACGACTGTAGTATCTAAGCTACACATTTACACATACGTTCGAGACACACATACACACACACACACACACACACGCCCCAAATTTATAGCGAAACAAGAAATATCAAATTGTGTATAATAACTAACATTAAAAAGAAAAAGAAAACACACACACACATACACACATATGTGTGCGTCCGTATGCGTATGCGCGTGAGAACGAACGAGAAAAAGAAAAATGGAAACAGAGAGAAAGAGAGAGAGAGAGAGAGAGAGAGTCACGAGGGGTAGAAAGAAACAGAGAGAGGGAATACGTGTTACAGAGAGAACGTGCGTCTAGCGAGAATGCGTTACATTATCGCATATACATATATACATATACGATTTTACGTGTTAAGTAACCCACGCGGAAGCGAAAAAAAAAAACGAGTTAAATATAGGATATCCATTTAGAAAATAAAATAGAGAGAAGACCGTTCGAACAACGTAGCTCCAGTACGTGGAGTCCTCTGCTCCCCCTTTACTCTCACCTCCCCCCACCCACCCATACCCACACCTTGGTGTACTGTTCGATCGTCTGTAATCGCGCCGATTAAATCGTTTATCAAATTCTCAATTCGGGATGATACTTATCCCTCGAGTTTTGTACACGTTCGAACGATGATCCGATCGTCTTGATATGTTCGACGAGTACGATGAATACAATTATTCGCTATATGCCATGACTGCCGTTATTTCAGACGCGAGAGTTGCATGTTCAGTGTCCGATATATGCCGTAGAAGCAAAAGAGTTTAAGTGAGCAGTTACCTACAGTAACAGTCATTTAATCGAGGAACATACCAAGCGAGAACATCGTTCTCATCGTTATCGGTTCTTTTGTTCTTTTCTTTTTAACGATGAACGATTTAATCGAATCGACGGATTCGCGGATTCATTTCAAGAGGAATCTGCAACCACGAAAGAACACGCGATCGAAACAGATAGAAACGTGTATTTCTATCTGTCGTCGTCGTGATTCTTCGTTCTACACGTCGATTGTACAGTCCCTGAGTTTTTAGTTGTGTTCACTATATTGTATACAGTGGGATCAAATTTAAACGCGTTAGAATCGACTAACTCACGTAAACCTAAATAATAATCGTCTCTCGCGTTCAGGATTACGTTGCCCCGCGTGTGCTAGCACGCGTCGGTGACGCGTGAGACGAGAGATATGCCTAAAAAAAACCGTAAGCAAAAGTAAACAAAAAGAAGAAAAAAAAAAGTATTAAAGATATACTTCCTTTAGAGGTAAAAAGAAATTTAAAAAATGACAAAAAAAAAAAAAAAGAAAGAAAGAATCAACAGATTATAAAAGGACAAGGAGGTGCGAGCTTTGAACAGATCAATCGATGTGTCCTCTGAAACGAAATTTCTTACGTCGAATTCGAGATTGGATTGAGAAAGAATCGTCGTATTGTCATCCAAGGTTTTTCAACAGCCGGGATAACATGTGACGTGTGAGACAGTCGCTTTCTAGTCCGAAAAAACGTGTTACAAAAACGAAAGAAGGGGTTTAAAAAGGTCTAAACTCTACTAGAGAATAAAAAGGGAAGACTCTCTTTCGGGCTTCAGCGTGGAATGCTCTTAGTGTATACCTGTTAGGGCAGCGTGTAACTAATTATCGAGTTAACGACGTGATTAGATCGATCGAATTCAATTAGATAGCAACTACGTGCATAAATGGTGAGATAACTGTTTGCCATCGCCACGACCGTCCCTTTTTTCCCCCTCCCTTCTCGACATTTAATTAGTTCCGTGAAATTGCAAATCGTTGCAACGATTCATCGTTCTTACTTAATTGTCAGAGTGTATCCCAATAGGACAATCACGAAACAAATCAAAGTTTGTGTTTAGTGTGTCGCTGAAATTCTTGTAGCTTGTAGAGCGTATGTGGAATTTCGAGCAGAGAATTTATTACCGACTTGTTTTTTTTTTATGTATTATCGAAATCCGTATCATTGTCCGAGAGTTCCAGTGCGCTGTTGCCGATTGAAAGAGAGGCCGCAACGGAATTTGTAAATTTTTCTCTCTGCATTGCGCCGCACGTTTCCGTCATTGTCCAGTTCTCTTTACGTGATTAGACTTACATGTGGTTACAATATTATAGGCCGTATTCCTCGAAATGAAAGCATGTACAAAATGTAATAATAAATATATCTTTGGTAACGAGACACAGATTTTCGCATGTTTGAGATAAAGATTGATATAGCGTAAATTCTAATCGTGATCTTCTTTAGCCAATGTATTAGCGTATGTTACGTTTCAGTTGTTATATCAATTAAACGTATACACACAACACACGTACACACACACACACATACACGCGCGCGTATACACACATATATATGTGCGAGGATTTTTATTCGACGTTTAACAATGAGCTTTGCGAAGCAAAAAAAGAGAAACGATAAATAAAATCAGGGAGGGGGAAAGGATATTCAGAGTGTAGAGGAAACGAGAGGAAGAGAGAGAGAGAATGAGAGTGAGAGAGCAGGAATTGATAACGATGATTTGTAGCTCGACACTGAACAACAGGAAAGATCGTGCAAGCGTATGTTCGTCAATTTCTGCCCAACTTAATTATAATGAACGAAGAAAAGAATTGCTAATAATAATTAAAAAAAAAATGATTATGATAATGACATTAGTATATGTAACGATACAATACTGAAGCATCATCATCTTTTGTATCATTTGTTTGTTTGTTTTTATCTTACTGCGTTTGTCTTTCATTATTAATGCAATACCAAGATGACTCGGTTTCGACACGATATCTTGTGTGTAAATATATACTAATAAAAAATACAAACATAAAACCAGTGTTAAATTTTTTATCCCCCTTATGGAGAAGTTTGCCAAATGCAGGATAATCGTCTAATTTATTCGGACAGTTGTTTATTTAGTGTATTGATATTAAATACATAATTTATATGATGAAAGGAAGGAACATACATTGTGAAGAATAACAAGTATAAATCATTCGTCCATATTCGGGTTATCATTGTTTTACAATTTAATGATTGTAATATCGTCTCACGTTAACATTGATTAAAAGCAATGTTTTAAATGCGCAGAGGAAAATTTTACAAAAAAAAAGAAAAAAAAATAGAAAGGAACGAGAATATAGAAAATATCTTAAAGAAGATTACATCGTTTCAGAGAGATTCTCAACAGATAGAAGGCACAGGATGCAATATTACATACATATACATATGATAGAGTTAACACATAATTAACATTGTGTAGCAAGAGACGTGATATTTTGATAGTTGTCTGATATCCTGTTCTCTGAGGATATGTATTCTACATACATAAATTCCTAGTAAAGAATCGGTAAATAATTTAAATAAATGGTGGAGAACATTGCATGCATGAGAATAAATGTAGATGTATATGTATGCTGATTTGCATTTGATTAGTTTAACTCTTGAGGTAAAATTGAAAGTCCTCTTGTCCCAATGCTACCTTCTTCTCTCTCCTTTTTGTGTTTTTCGTTTTTCTTTCTTCTCCTCTTTTAACTGTTTCTGTTTCTCACTAAACAACAGCAATAGATTGATCAATAACAACATATTCATAGTATTTTTACACAAAAAGGACAATTTGTTAAGAACCTACCGGTCTTCCTTGTCTTTCTCCTTTTTCTTCTGACTCTCCAATTTAGCCTGTTCCCTCTTTTCCCTTTCCTGTTGTATTATATTAGACACATTCGTATTTCTCTCAATACCGCAGTCTCCACCGCTGGCACCATCCTCCTCTCCATCTCCCTCGCTGTTCTCCTCCTCTGACATCTGACTGTATTGTGCAAGAATAGCTTCTCTTATTCTCCTTTCTTCCTCCGTGTAACTTCTCTGTGTCGTGGTCGGTAGGGACTGAGATTCCAACATTCGCGCCAATCTGACATCTACGTCTTCCAATGGCTCCTTTGCAGCAGCAACCTCTTCGACAGGTAGATAGTCGGTCCAAGCTTTCAAAATTTCCTTCACATGTTTGCTGATGTTATCGTCCTAAAAACGAAAAAAAAAAAACAAGATTAAACATTACTATCTCACAAACTACCATCACTCGATTACTTATCGCGTATCATCGAATTATTAGAATGCTAAAAAACATAATGGATATATCGACCGTGTTTAAGCGAGCATGCACAGAAAGGAAACGAACGATATGCAGAGTTGGAGAAGACACATGCTATTTAACGAGAGAAAGAATAATAATAAACCGGTTGTTATTTTTGACCGGCTAGTAAGCTACGAACAGCAAGCATATTCTAACCTCACAATCCGTGTGCTCCTCACCGTTATGCCAGCGAGTATGCCTTCAAGGGCTTCGGTCTTCTCGTCCTCAGTCTCATCACCTTCTAAGATTCCCTTGATGTACGATCCAAACACACCTTCGTCAGTATTTAATGCTTGTAATTTCTTGCTGAGCCAACTATCGAAAGAATTCATTGCAACCGCCATGATCGGCTTTTTCGCTTTTCTGAGTCCTTCGGTTGGCAACATGTCTAAATCTGCACCAGCATTTTTAACAGGATTTATACGAATAATCGTTACAATAAACATATAAATCAAAGAAAATTGAGATATGTTGTATAAGAAACATATTTCTTTCGCAATCTTTGCTGTATTTTATTGTCTGAGAATTATCACGTTTCTCTTGCGCAGTTAATAAACATGATTGCTTCCTGTTCTGTGCTTAACTCGTAAAGCATGTATAGCCACGTATTGTATCTTGAATGCTATTGATAAAATATTCGATTCCCGAAAAATATGAATCTAATACTCAGCAATTTCCCAAATTTTTTTCCGAATAATGTTCGTTATTAATCACGAAGAATAGCCACAGTTAAAATTAAATAAATTGTATTATTGGAAGAATAAAATATTAAAAATGGTTTTATAAAATCAATGAAATAGTGCCTGATAATTCGAGAGAATTGAGTCGAATTGAATTTTAGTAAAAATTTTGATATAGAGCTATATGTGATAATTATTAAATACAGTTATTAGCATTGTGTTGTTATATAAAAAATTTTAGATTGATACTAATTATTTAAATTAATTATACAATCTATTGTAGATGGATAAAATTATTATATTATATCATAAATTGAATTACATAATCTTCTTTGGATCTTATACTTTATGTTACATGCGAAAAAGTTCATGAATAAATTCATTATAATTCATTAAATCGTACGTAAATCCCTCGCACAGATCCTGTGTAATAATAAGAAAAGAAACACGTGTTTATAACTAAAGAAATAAATAAATATGTCCAAACTTGTATGAAATTTACTGTGCACATTTCCCAACATTTTTAATTCAATTTTCGAATGCAGATTACGAGAAATTAAATCTTATTTGAACGAAATCCTTCGATTTATCGATTAAAATTTACAAAACTCTAGATACGTATTTCAACAAGTAGTTCAAAATGGTCACAAAAAGAAACTTGAAGATCTAATTAGAAAAAATCAATTGCAAACGTCCAGAAATTATTTTTTTCAATCAACTTTTGTTACAAATGAAAATTTAATCAATTTATGAATACTGAAATGCATCACGCGGCGGCGAAACAATGGAACTAAAATCTATTGCTGCTTTTGTTGCATAATAATACGCTCTTTGTCTACGAACAAAACAAGTGCTGCTATCTATCGGAAATTTACACTTTTAGCATTGACCACAGCGAAGAATATACCTCTTAAGGGTGCTTAAAAACCAGTGACTTTTTATGGTCAATATTTTAGATTCTGAGACACAAAGTCCCATTCATGTCCAATCTATTCTATCTTTAGTCAATGCTTTTAGTTTCAGTCGAAGTTGAGAAATAGATGACAGCACTGTCTACAGACAAGGAGCTCATTAAGATAAGATAGCTATCAGTTCTATCATTTCACCACTGCACGATGCTAATTGTTCTGATTGTTCAGACAATTATTATTTGCGTAAAAAGCTAATTAAAAGGACTTTATGAATTTTTGCAGTTTTTCCTTGATTTTTGGGGCTTAGCTTTCTTCCCTGTTTCTGTTTGATCTGTGAAATGCTTGTATAAAGATTTGAAATTTTTGTTCAATAGATCGAAGCACTATGTTGGATAGACGAGGAGAACAATAGCGTGTGACAAGGACAGACTTACGTAATGTGAAAGACAAGAAGCGCATTAGTATGTGACAAAAATAGACTTATGCAGTGCAGAAGACAAGGAGCGCAATAGCGTGCGACAAGGACAGATGCATGTTGCGTGCTGCCATCTAAGCACCTATCAATTTCGACTAGAACTAAAAGAACAAAATGGAGAAATCCGATAGATGGCGACACTTGTTTCGTTCGTGTTGCAGGTTCGCGCGTATTTTTAAAAACGAGTTAATTAACAACGGCGATGTTGATTAGAAATGAAGAATGTTGAGAATCAATCGAAGCAAACGGTCGTCATAAAGATCCCGTTATACATTAATTGAATTAAGTAGTTATTGTTACTTGTTAAATCGCGTAATATATTTATTTAAAGGAGCGCAATTAGTGAACAGACTTATGTAATGTGACAGACAAGGAACGCACTCGCGCGCAATAAGGATAGCAATGGATTTTATTGTGTCGTTTCACCGCTACGCGACGCTAGCGTTTTGGTGTCCATAAATTGATCAAATTTTCATTTGCAAAAAAAGTTAATGAAAGGAAATAATTTTTAAGCTTTTGCAGTTCTATCTATTTAATTGGAATGTCAACTTTCTTTACATATATATTTTACGCTAATTGAGATTTGAATTGCACATATATTATATATAATACACAGAAGCGATATTGCTTGGGAGGTAGATCGATTGTCCCGGGAAATTTTAAAGAAACTAAGTAAATGAATAGTAAACTTTTATCTCATAGCTCCTTAATTAGCCTATTGCGTTTAGAAATGTAAGAAAATATTATTAGAATTTAATCGACGTCAGAAGTTTGAAGTAAATTGCACATAAGAATTCGTTAAATTACAGAATTGATTTCAAGTAATTAAAAATAAATAAAAATCGTTCATTATTCAAATAAATCAATTTTCCTTGATAATATTAATACCAATTCATTTAAAATAATAATCTTCACGTCTTAAAATTACTAATTCTCGGAATCCACTCGTTAAACTAACATTTTTCGCGGAACAGACAAATTTCAACATACAGCATGAGAACACTGCCGACGAGTGAAATAGAAAAATTGGATCAGAGACGTTCGAGTGCAAGGAATGGAAAACAATTCAGAATGCAAGAACACAGACTTTTATTCGTGTATCTTATAAAAATCATTCAAATCCGTGAAGCCGCAACATTGCAAATCTGTTCTAAACTGTAAAAAATTATAAAATTGTTTCTGATCAATTTATTAGTTCCGATGTTCAACTACCAACATTATCCATTTGTATTAATTCGTACGCCTCTGAACATACCGCTCTAATTCCATCCTATTTGAACGAAGATTCACTTTCCGTTGGCATTGCGTCTCTATCATTGTGACAATAGAGTTTCGTTACTGTAAGCGGGTATCGATTGCGAGCGGAAATGCTAATTTAATATTGGAATTACTGTAGAGCCCGATCGTTGTTAGTCCATCACAGTACTGTCAGTGGCACCGATCGCGGACGAGCCGTGAATGTTTCAACAACGATGTGGAACTACGTGCTGGTCTCGATCCTTGTCTTAGTCGTTTCATTGCTGTACCATTGCTATTTCAACGGTCCAGCCAGCATTGTCGTGCACCCTAACACGCATTACGATTACATAATCGGTAAGTGGCGGACAACGTCGGTGACTGCGATACCGCTCGAGTTTTCACATTAAGTAGAGTAGAGAGGCGGGTATTCGAATGAAATTTAATTCTTTAACCTCGCGTGATCTATCTATCTTCTGCTGGATGGATCGACTTTACCGAAATATAATCGAAAGTAATGTATAGCAAATTAGATTTTGCGATATATTTTCATGATGCAATCTCCGAGAGGTATTGCAATTAGGGGCGTGCATAATTCGTTCGCTAATTTTTTTTTCTCTTTTTTTAATTACCGTGTAAATTTTTTTTTGTTTCAAATAGAGAGGACGACGATTAACATTGTCAAGTGTATTCGATCGTGGAATTAATTCACAAATTTCGAATAGTACGAAATACATAATTTTCTTTAATACACACAAAACAGTTGGTGCTGGAACAGCGGGATGCGTAGTGGCGTCACGGCTTTCCGAAATTTCAAACGTGACGGTTTTGTTGGTCGAAGCGGGTGGACATTTCGGATGGGTATCGTCCGTTCCAATTCTGGCGCCGTTCATGCAAAGGACCGACGTCGATTGGTCGTACTCCACCGAACCGCAAAGATTCTCTTCGAAAGGATTTTGGAATCACGTAAACGAAAATTAAGAACCATCGTACAGACGTAAAATAAGATAATATCTAATCTTCTAATCTTCTATGGCCTCAGTATTTTATGATTTATATTGTTATTAAATTTGTAACATCATTGGGTTGAAGGCCGACGTTTTAGCTGTCCGTGATCGGAAAAGTTGGATTTTATTATAGATACAAAATATACCGAGAGGCAAAGGGTTGGGCGGTAGCGGGCAGTTAAATCACTTGGTTCACTCCTTCGGAAAGCCGGAAGATTACAAAGCCTGGCCGAAGGGATGGTCACACGCCGATCTACTTCCGTACTTTAAAAAGGTGTCCGATATCATGAACGTAATGTCCAGCCCAGAGGAAGAATATCTGGCGGACGCTTTTCTCATGGCGGAAGAATCGTTGAAGTTGAATAATGTGACTATGCAAAAAGGGATGTACACGACTAAAAGAGGCTCCCGCTGGAGCACGTTTAACGCGCATTTACAAAATGCCTGGAACAGGAGGAACCTGCATATTTTAACAAACACGTTGGTTTCCAAAGTGAGATTTCTAGTTTTCCCTTTTGCCTTTTCTTTTCTTTCAGACATATCGTATGATAGAACTAGAGTTGTTTGTCTCAACACCATTTGTTAGTTAGTTTTGTAGCAGTGTAAGAACTCGGTAACAAGCTGTAAGTGGCTACAGAGATGTGTTTATTAATCGAAACTACCGATGAGAGTGAAGCATAGAATCTCGATCGGAGACACTAACACTAAAACTCCCAAGGACTAGTAAAGCATAGAATTTTCATCAGAGATATTAAAGTGAATAGATAAAATAGAAAGACAGTAGAATACACAAACTTTTACTCGTGTATTTTATAAAAAATCATTTAAACCTCTAAAAGTACACTATTTTGCATCTGTAATGTATATATAATATCTAAAAAAATTATGAATTAGTCATTCTGATCACTTCGGTAGTTTTAATGTTAAATTAAAAAGAAATAGAAATACTTATGCATTTTACGAAAAATTTGAATCTCCAAAAATATGTTGTTTTCACATCTATAAAGTTTCTAACGGAAACTATAAATTTTGATAGTTTCAGTGTCAAGTTTGTATTTCATTTTCGTACCAAGTTAAATTCTTTCTTTAAAATTTAGAATTGAATAACACAAACGATATGTATTTTAAAAATGATCTCGCGTAATAGAGCCATACGCTCGAACAGTTCGTTCGCAAATTTCCAGATACTTTTCAAAGAGAATTTAAACGCGGACGGGATCAAAGTGATTTACAATGATGGATCGGTGGGAAGGATTGCCGCGAGAAAAGAGGTGATACTCTGCGCGGGTGTTATCAACACTCCTCAATTGCTTTTGCTTTCGGGAATCGGGTCAGCCGAAGAGCTTGACAAATTTCAGGTGACGAATCGTTGAGATTCTTTTTCTTTTCCTTCCTCGAAAATAAATCTTCGATGTCGCGATGTCGTATAATGCATATTTCGTTCGAATATACTTTATATAATCTGAGGACAGAGATATTATTTTTAGATACCAGTGGTGAGCAGTCTGCCGGAAGTGGGCAAGAATTTGTTCGACCATCTTCTTCTTCCGCTTTATGTCAATCTCGAGGCGAGAGTAAGCATGACTCTGTACAAGTTACAAACAGTCCCCGAAGTACTCAGTTATTTCGTATACGGTAGAGGTATGAACAACAATCTCGATAATGATCTTTTGCGCGTTACAGCGCATCATCTGTAATTTTAGTAATCATTCTTGTTACTTTTAAGGGTGGTACGCGACTAATGGTATAATGGCGGTGGGTCGTGCCAACGATAGCGGAATTATGCTATTTGGGATGGGCTCTACCGACGAAAACATATTAAAGAGCTTGTCTAATTACAAAACAGAGGTAATACATGACACTGCGCTAGTTTCTACGTTGTCTTTACGTTCAAACAAGTGCTTTCGTAAGATTGATAAAATAAATATTCTAGTAAACATCAGAAAATGATGCAAACTGTATACAGGGTGTTTCGTAACTTGTGGGACCTACTTCGGGAGCTGATTGTACGCCTAAAAATAATGAAAAAAAGTCATATAAATGCATAAATAAATGCATATAAATATATCGTATCTGTCTTCGTTTATGATAATGAATTTTATAAACAGAGCAAACTCTAGTAAGCTAGTTTTACCAGGGATGGTATATTCAATTTTTATAATAATCATAATTGAAATGAAGAAAACCCACATGTTATTGTGCATTCAAGACATCAACACCAGTTTAGTTTAAACGTATGGGCAGGAATAATTGATA